ATTCTTGTGATACATAGTATAGAAGTATATACTTTATATAATATGTCCTTCCTTTCTTGAGTTCTCTATTCTGACATACATTTTTGTTTGTTTGTTTAGAGAATTTCCTTAGGTTTTATGCAGGAGAAGGTATGTGAATGGTGTATTTTCCGAGTCATCGTCTATTTGAAAATGCCTCTTTCCCTCTTATGATAGTCTGGTTAGCTGTAGAATTATAAGACTACAATCTCCTTTTCTTAGATCAGCTGGGATCTCAAGCCCGTCCAATTCTGATCACTACTTTAGCCATACCTCTTAGTTTTAATCACTATTTTATAAATCTCACTGAGTATAGGAATTAATTTGCCTCTTGCATCAATTTATTTAATGTCAAGGACCAGTTTATTCTGATGGCTCAGCTTGGCTAACCTCTTTTGAGCTGCTGATTTGTCCCATGATTTTTCTTCAGTTGTCAGTTTATGTGTTCTTCCTGGCCCTTCACAGCTTAGGGAGATAACTACCATTCATCTGCCCGTATGTAGTGTATGGACGCTCAAGCCTTTCATTCACTGGACAATAATATTTGCCATTCCAAAACAAGTCTTCAGGCTTGCATGGATCCCTTAGAATTCTAGGTGTACAGCTGGGGTTAGGGATGTCGTGGTGTCTAGTATCTGAGTCTGCAAGATGAAGGATATTGCTACACTACATCATGTTCAATGGCTGCATCTAATAGCAGGTAGAAGAGAGTTCTGATGGTCAGACCTCATTGCAGGATCTTCTAGGCCACATCTTACCCATAAGAATGTACTCTGTGGCAGGTCTGGATACAGTTTTGTGCACAATCACCCCCAAGCAGCAATACCTCCAGGGATCTGGATCAGAACTGGGTTGCCATTTGCCTCCTTTCATCCCTGAATCACCATCTGGTTATTCTCTTGGCTCTTGGACAGAAGGACTAATTATACTTTTGCATTTTTTAGAAAATTTATCTTTAGGATAATTATTTTTTGATGTTACTATTTTTTCAGTTTTTGTTATGAAATATGCCATAAATGCCAAAGAGTATATATAGTGAATACATATGGTTTCAGGATCAATCATAAAACAAATGGCCATGTACCTACCACCTAACTTAAGGAATTTCTTCTAAGCAAGGCTGTTATGTGATTCTAAGCTGATTCTCCTTCTCTCTTTCCTGAGGTTGTGGGTCTGACACTTTCTGAAAAAAAAGTGTCCAGAGAGTGCCCTGAGTTATTTAAAAACAGAAACCCAGATGATTGTGCTTAGTGGTTGGTGTGTCTACGTAGGTCACCAATGATTTCTCCTGGAAGGCATTCCTTGGCCCGTTGCTAACCCACATGGCACCTTTGTGTGAATAAGAAGAAGTCACGTCTGCCATTTGCCAGAAATTCTCTTTAATACCTATATGCACAAAAATCTATAATGATAATGAATGTGACTAGCACCTCCTGGAGTTTGCAGGCCACAACCATAATTCATGGTAAATGTAGCAGGTGGCTATAGGGCTCTTCAGGTGGGCGTCATCAGGCATTTACTAAATGCCTACAGTGTAGCAAGTGTTCTTTTAGTTGCTTGGCATTCAATGCTGAGATGGACGGGATTCCTGCTCATGGATCCCCCGTGACTGGACTGGTGAACAAGCTGTTTTTTGGGTGCATGAGCTGGGAGTCAACTGACAAGCTGGGGTCACTCTTGAGTTGGGTCAGGGCCCTGTGGTTACTAGCAAAAGTGGGCACAGGCTTTAACTTCGTTTATTTCTCATGTTGTCTATGCCACATTAACCCTGAGAGGTTATGCTGTACCAATGTGATGAGTTCAGAGCTTAAGTCCAGAGTGACCATATTCCCTGGTTTGCCCTGGGTACTGGGTGAAGTCTCTTGTCCCAAGTGATTATTATTATCACCCCCCACCCCCAAAGGTGTCCCAGCTTAGGATAATACATTGTACGGTCATGTGCATGAGTCAGCTGTTTTTGCCATGGTAACCAACCCCTTCAAAGTGTTAGTGACTTAAAACATCAGCTATTTGCTCATAGATCTGAGGATCAGCTGCAGCTCTGTCCCAGTCTGTGGATAAGGTTTAAGCTTGGTTCTCTTTCTGGACTTCGGGCCTGTGCCACAAGTCTTACCATGATAGCACCTAAGTTGGAAGACTGGGCTTTATTTCAGATTTCTTCTCATGACAGAAGGTGGGAGCCAAGAGTCTTCTGGTCAGAGCTGGCATGGCCCTTATCTACTCGGATTTTATTGACTAGAGCAAGTCACATGGACAAAACCAACATCAGGGGATTGGGATTTAGGCTCCTCCCTTGGTATGGGGGTGCTGTGGTGGGAGAGAGTGAATAGTTGGTGAATAACTATTATCACATTACACTCCTAAACACTCCTTGCCAGCATGCCCCAACCCCAGCCTTTGCTGGTGTCCTTTAGCAGTGTCTATGTTAGGACAGTGCTGTAGTGATTAATAGGACATAGGAGTTTTGCCTCCATTTGGATTACAGAATGTATTAAGAGATTTCACTGTGGTTTGGAGCCTGTTTTGTTTTTGGATTTTATTGGACAAGGTAGGAGTTGATGTTTGCTATGACAGCCTGATTAATGGGGATAGAGTCTCCTCCTTTCTGTGTCCTGAGCACTACCACCTATTCTAGAAGTTTGCACAGATGAATTTCCCACACTCCCGTGTGAGCTGATGGAACCCAGTGGAGCCTGTGGCCAGACCACCTTCTCTTCCTACCTCATGTTGGGCCTCCATGAGGTGTGATTTCTGGTGTCCCTTACTCTGCCCCCACTGACTCTACTCCCTGTCCTCATCTTGCCCTTGTTTCCCTGTACCTGGGAATTTTAATTTTCATTGTTTCCTTAGTGTCCCTTCATTTGCTTGTGTTAAATGTTCAGTACTAATTGACTTTTCCTTTAAAACAGTTCCAGAAACTCCTCAGTGTTACTGGTTCACTCATGGAACCCGTCCTTGTTTTCCATTGTTGTATAGTTTGCTAATCCCCTTTCAGTGGGATCTGAGGAGAGAAAGGCGGCAGGTTTGAGCTCACTTACCCATGTGAAACTGGAGCCCCAGTATTGTCAAGCAGTGACAGAATATTATTTCACTGAAAAGGCAGAGATTGATGGGGAGGCACAGAGGAGATACATTAGATCCATCACCAGCCCTGGCAGCTGGCATTCTCTCAAGAGCAATTTTTCATGAGGAAACTGCTTTATCGTTTCATAAGAATGATCAAGTACCTTCAGAGTCATGTTGAAAAGCACATGGATGGTGGGTGGTCAGCGTGACTCAGTAGGTAAGTGACCTGCAGCAGGGGCTCACATGTGTGCCTTAGTAGAAATACCAGCTCCTTCGGGGCGCCTGGGTGGCTTAGTCGGTTAAGCGTCCAACTTTCGCTTAGGTCATGATCTCGCGGTTCATGGGTTCGAGCCCCACGTCGGGCTCTGTGCTGACTGCCAGCTCAGAGACTGGAGCCTGTTTCAGAGTCTGTGACTCCCTCTCTCTCTGACCCTCCCCTGCTCACGCTGTCTCTCTCTCTCTCTCTCTCTCCTAGAAATAAATAAAACATTTTAAAAAAAAGAAAAAAAAAAGAAATACCAGCTCTTTCATGTCATGGATTGTTGGCATTCTGTGGATAATGGATATTGTAAAAATTAACTTATTCCTAAGTTTCTCTTTCACAAGAATATGAGTCTATGAAGAAAGTGTGGAATGTGTCTTCCATGTTCCCCATTGGACTCTCTCCAAAACCTAGCACGGTACCTGGCATGTAACGGACGTTCAGAAAACTTTGGCTGAAGCAATGCAAATATTAATGATGGACAGTAAAGCCAAAGCCTGGGAGAATACTTGGAGCTCCTGAGTGTCATGGAGTGCAGTAAGGGCAGGTGGGAGTGTCCTTTAAAGTAGGGCTTACAGCCACCACAGTGTCAGGAATGAGTTCAGGTTGATGCCTTAGCCTCCCTGGGTCTACTGTAGTGTGGGGTGGAAGCCTGGCAGGGGTTGGGCTTTGTTCTGGGGACTAGGGACACAGCCACTGCACTGCCATGGAGCCTAGCTGAGGCCATACAGTCTGGGCAGCAGATGCTGTGGTTGCCTTGCCGTATCCACTCACTCTCACCACTTCAGTGCATCAGCCCCTGCATTTATTTGAATGTGGGATTTTTCTGGCTGCTGAAACTTACTTTGCCACTCATGCTGTAGGTGGGAAATGCCCCTTGAGAGCTGCCCTCCAATCCATGACTGAAGGGAGCTGACATTATAAGTAGCCCATGCCCTTGCCCCTTGGGTAACTCACTTGGTAAAGCCCCCTTCACTGGCTGCCTTCCCTGGATCACTGCCCTACTCCCCTACCTCTGTTTTCTTCACCTTCTAAATAAGCCACCTGCCCTTGAATACTTGTCTCAGGGTCTGCTACCGGGGAAACCCAAACTATGATGGTCAGCACTTGGGTCCTAGGTACCTGGCCACTGGGTGGGGGGTATTCTTGAGGCTTCAGAAGACTTGAGCTTCATTTTACTGAGACCCTTAAAAGTCAATGTCAGAAATGGAAAGAAAGCCCTCTAGCTTCTCTTGTTTTAGAAAGTTGTTACTTAAACAATTCCCAAATTTTATTATACAGCTCTCCGAAATGATCGAGTAATTTCTAAGGACAGTTGAGACTGCCCTGCTCTCAAAACCTCATTGATTCATATTTCTGTGGTGTAGGGTCTCAGTTGACTTGGAGGGCATTCCTAGTGCCCCCTGAATATACCCTGTCTCTTGTTAGAGCAGACTACTCATGGTTTTGAATCATGGTCTACATGTCATCTTCTCTTTGCTCTGAGTCTCACTGTCCCTTTGCCAGAATCAGGTGACCCAGCAGCATCTCTGGCCTGTCTCCTGCAGCCAGCTCCTGAGGGATGAATGGATGTAAGGTCATTCTGCCTGCACTGTGCAGTGGATGGACACAGTACAAGCAATCACACTGACCTTTGATCTTTGCTTCTTTGCAGATATCTCAGTGAGCCTGCTGACCCTTGTGGTCACTGCCTGTGGCCTCGCGCTTTTTGGTGTGTCTCTCTTCGTGTCTTGGAAGCTCTGCTGGGTTCCGTGGCGAGAACGAGGCCTGCTCTCTGGTAGCAAAGACAACAATCGGGAACCTCTTAACTACACGGACACAGAGACCAATGAGCAGGAGAACAGTGAGGGCTTCCTAGACCCTCCCACCCCCTGCCCTGACTCCTCCATGAAGATCAGCCACACCTCCCCTGACATTCCCCTCTCGACCCAAGCTGGGGGCCAGGAGAACTGTACCCATGGCATCCGTGTACAGCGCCAAGTCACAGAGCCAACCTCGTCGGCCCGGTCAGTAATGCCCCTTTCCTTTCTGACTGCAAGGCAAGGACCACCTTGTTTCCCCTCTCTTGGCAACAGTAGCATTGGTTAGCTAAGGATCCTATAACCTTTCACATGTCCATTCAGTATCAGACATGAATATGGGAAAATGTGGTGCTTCCTATGCTCCAGTGAGGCTCCTTACCTCTCCTGAGCTCCCTGTGTAATGTCCACTTAGTCCATATTAATAATAGTTACATTGCCAAGACTAAGCATGACAAGTACTAAGAACTTGGTATGCATTTTTTATTATAGTTCACAACCTTGCATGAGAAGCACAACTTATCATTTTCGTTTCACAGAAGAAGAAACTTAAGTCAAAGAGTTTAAGTAAAAACATCATAGATTGGTATGCACCCAAGGTTTGAACCCTGATTGAACCAACACCAGACCCTGAGAGCTCTTACCCACCCTTCCCACTGTCCTAGTGCTATTGAATTTATTTTCTGTGCCTCTGACCTAGCCTAGCGATCACACACAGGCTGTCTTTGTAGTCCACAAAGTGGCTGGAGGTCTTTGTCCTCAGGTTACTTACTCTCTGTGGGCCAGATGCTGTGCTTTAAGTGGTAATCTTGTAGTGCAGTGATAAAGAACAAGGGCTCAAGTGAACTGGCTTTACTTACATGTATGACACACCAGACACATTACTTAACCTCCATATGTTTCCATTTCCTCTTCTGTGAGAGAGAAATAGCGATAATACCAACACATAGGTGCTTTTAAGAATGAAGCAATAAAAAAAAAAAGAATAAAGCAGTAACATGCACATCATGTGCTTTGCATAGGAGTTACCTGGTAAATACTCCAAATGTGAGCGGCCATTTTGATTGCAGTGTTGTTTTTGTCATGATCATTCCCCTGTGACTGGCCTCTTCCAGGACTCAGATGTTGCATAAACGTGGCATTCAAGTTAAACAGACAATTCTGAATCCCTGGATATCAAAATTCACTTTCAATAGGAGTTTTCAAGATGAGAGATACAGGAAGTAGCTTTTTTTAAATGAAAATATTAGCATGAGCAATAGCCAGAGGAATAGCATGTGCTGTTATTTGGAGAGTATGAGCACAGTTTGGGGGCATTTTAAAAAAATCTTTCTTATTCTCTAGAAACGGAAATAAGATTTTACCCTTTTTTATGTTAATCGAGTTTATCCTAGAGACTCTGCTCATTCACTTTAAGTGGGATGGAATATGACAGTTTATAATTTAATTTTTCCACAAACCTATTTTAGCATCATTTCCAATTCTGAATCAAAGAGCTAAACCTAAAATATTCCTCTGTGAAGAAATGGATGGTTGTTTGCCATTTGATTTAGAAGAACTCCTCAGATTTTATCACCAGGATTTCTCTTTAGATATAAGACTTAAATATAGCTGGAGCTCTGTTTGATACCATCATGGCTTTCATTCAGTGGTACAGATTCATAATAAAAATCCCTTCAGTATTTCAATAACTGGAGTCTTTCAGATGGAGTATCTGCTGAAATAGTCTTCTATTCAGTTTTACTCTGAATGTTAATTTTTCTGACCTAGGTCCCATCAACACAAGGTGATAGTACCATGCTTTTATTAGATTATGGATCTGAGGACTCTGCCATAATTCTAATGAATCAATAGCAATCATATCACTATAATTATCACAATATTTATTCTAGAAAAATATATAAGTACTCTACATATCAAGAAATGTATTTCATTTAAGAATAAAAACTGTAGGGGCACCTGAGTGGCTCTTGGTTGAGCATCCGATTCTTGATTTTGGCTCAGGTCATGATCTCACAGTTTGTGAGTTTGAGCCCTGCATTGGGCTCTGTGTTGACAGTGGAGTCTGCTTGTGATATTCTCTCTCTCTCTGTCCCCCACTCTCCCCCTCACCCGCCAAATAAATAAACTTAAAACAATCCTTAAAAAAGAAAAAATAAAACTGTAGTATCTTCACCACTGATTTATGTAAATTGTGGAGAAGGAAAAAAAAAGAAGAAAGTGAAGGAATTATTCGTATAAAATGAATTTACATTTAGATTTACTTTAGTTTGGGAGTCATGTAATTATCTTTTCTGATGACCAAAATCAAGTTTAGTAATATCTGATCTACCATAAGAAAATGAAACTCTTTCCAGCTGCATTGACCTAATTCTGATAATTAGCATCATTGTGCATTTAAAACATTCTTACCTAAATTACTACCGACCTAGTTTTATGGGTTATGTCGGGAAATACGTATGTATTAATTATGGTCTTATCATAACAAATGGTATATGTTCTTCTCATTCTTTAGGGATTGTGTTATGTTATAAACACACACACACACACACACACACAACATTTTTACTGACAAAATGAGAGAAATGAATGACATTTCCTTCATGTTCCAAAATTTTTAACATTTTTAAAAAAATATTTTTATTTATTTCTAGGAGAGAGAGAGACAGCGTGAGCAGGGGAGGGTCAGAGAGAGAGGGAGATACAGACTCTGAAGTAGGCTTCATTCTCTGAGCTGGCAGTCAGCACAGAGCCCAACGCAGGGCCCGAACCCACGAACCGCGAGATCACGACCTAAGCGAAAGTCGGACGCTTAACCGACTAAGCCACCCAGGCGCCCCAATTTTTAACATTTTTTAAGTAACATTTTTGATTCTGAATTTGGGGAGGGGAAAGGGACTATGCCAAGGTGGCTCTAAATAATCTGCTCTGCTAGTTCTTATTTCTTCCTTGTTTTCTCATAATGCTCCTTACTTCCTCACTGCTATCATTTTCTTTCTTACTGCTTCCCTCCTGCAGATGTTGTGACTTGCCCCCATGGTCTCAGGACATCTCCTTGACCCAGAGGATGTAAGCCTTAGACTCCCAGTTAAGGGCATCCCCCTGTCCCTGTAGTCCATCGGCATAGCTTCTGTCGCAGCATTGACATTGGAAAGCTCACCCTCTCCAGGCCTCTTGATCGTGAATATGTGTGGCTCCCACCAGTGTCTATGGAATGCCCTAAATATGAATGTTGTTTTATCTTCTCAGAAGGTTTCTGGGATGATTTTCTCTTGTTTTCCCATGATAAAGCACGTTAACATTCTGTTTCTAGCTAGCTCAGTTACTATTAGAACCCTCCAAAGTCCCTGTTAATTCTTTTCAACTTTAGATGAAATCCCTTTGTAAAATATACTGGAAATATGGATTTTTTTTCCAGAAGAAAATGCTTCAGTACCAGAACATTTTAAAGATCTCTATTCCAAATATATAAAAATCCCTGGGTCCTCAAAATAGAAGGAACTTTTACAAGCCATCTAATGCATTTCTTGATTCACATCCCAACATCAAAGTCCAACCTGTTTTATTAAGTCTTCTCAAACTTCTTATATAACACTTTGGTTTCATAAAAATTTCAATTACCACACTGCCATCACTTTATCAGGCTTGTTAGGGCCTGTGTGTTATTGCCCACAGTCTGCTGATGACAGCGACCCACCTCAGTGCCATGCAGCTCTGCCCCGGAAGACATGGACTCACTAGGAAGCTTTACCTGGAGAAGCTCATCGTATTCCAGCTACACGAGCCTCTCTCCATGCCTTCCATATCCCCTGCCTTTTCCTGCCTTGAAGCCTTCACAAACAAGCTGTTCCGTCAGCCTGGAGTTTTCATTTTCCCCTCCAGCTCCTTTGCAGCTTTAATGTCCCACCTAAAGCATCACGTCCTCAGGAAGGCCTCCTTGACCACCCTGTCTGAACATGTGCTCTTTCCTCTATGCACTCCCACTCTGCATTCTCTCACACGTTGCCCTGCTTGCATTTCTCCATAGGATCAAACTCTCTCTTTCTAACTAAATGATTATTTGCTTGTTGCCTGTACCCCCTTCTCTAATCTAGGAGTTTTGTTAGCTCAAAGACTATATCTGCTTTGTTTCTCCCTATGTATCTAACACCTAGTGCAGCCCCTAGCATAGAACACTTTCTCTTTTTTCTCTTTCTTTTTAATGTTTATTTTTGAGAGAGAAAGCATGAGTAGGGGAGGGGAAGAGAGAAAGGGAGAGAGAATCCGAAAAAGGCTCCAGGCTCAGAGCTGTCAGCACAGAGACCAGTGTGGGGCTCGAACTCATGAACTGCAGGATCATGACCTGAGCCAAAGTTGGACACTTAACCAACTGAAGCACGCAGGCTCCCCTAGAGCAGACTTTTTCCATGAATGACTGAAAGAATACCTCCATCAGCATCAAGCCACTTTTCTCATGTTCCACTGACAAGAATGGCAGAAGGCCAGAAGTATAAGCTGAAGAAGGGCCCATATGGGATGAGGCCTTTTGTCCCAAGTCTTACCTTCCTTCAGAGCCTTACAGTTAGGCCTTTGGCCTTATCTCTGAACTAAGCAAGCCACAGAGTCACAGAAATATACTGACAGAGTTGAAAGACGATAACAATTATTGAACTTCAAATTTGGGTCCCATCACTGGCCACAACTCCAGTAAGTGGTATGTTGGGGTTAAATGTTGTAATTGCTCTATGAGGAACACAGTTCTATTAAGCTATGTTTTGTGTGTGTGTGTGTATTGAAAACATGAGTTAGATGTGAACACTCAAAATGCAACAGTTTTTTGGATGATTCTTAGATATTTCTTTAGATTTTAATAAACTGACAGCTTGGAAAATGGGAGTTGCTTAGACCTTTCTCAACTCCCATGAGATTCTGAAACTAGATATAAATGTGTATTTTCTCTATTGGGATTTAATTATTGGAAACTTATTTCCTTGGCATTCGTATATTTATTCTGGATACTTGTATTAAGCATCTTCAATGTGCAAAGTTCCATATCATGTGCTGGTAGTAAAGAGATAAAAAAACATTTATATTGTATTGTATTGTATTATATTGTATTATATTGTATTATATTATATTATATTATATTATATTATATTATATTATTACCCTGACCTCAAAAGGTGCACAGCCTATTTGGGGAAATAGGCAAGAAGAGCACCAATTACACACATTGAAGTGCTGAAATTGTCTTCTAGAAGATCATTCTGGCAAGAGTGTTTACGAGGCTTGAGATAAGGTGAAGACTGGCTATAGGGGTTGATTCAAGCCTGTAATGATGAGGCCTGAACTCTTGGAAACAATGGAAGTAGAAAGATACATGAGTTGTGAGCTACTTTAGAGAAGGTGTTGGTGGACATAGGATCACCTTAGAAATAGGGAATAAAACATTGGAAGATGACACCAAGATTTTAAACTTGTTTAACTTGGGAGCTATGGGAGGAAGCAGGTCATGCATCAGAATATTCAACTGCACTTGACCCCGCACCTCCATTGGCCAAGGTGTGATGCCTACATCTTTCTTATATCACTCACCCTGGAAACTTCTGAATCCTGTACTGAGAAAGATCCCAATTTCCTCCTGCTCTGTAGTGAGTTCACTTCTGGACTTCCTCTTCTGTGTCTGCCTACAGCTCAGGACAACCATACCTCCTCCTCTCTAACACCTGGGGTGTTTCCAAGAAGGAAAACAAATTCTGTCCCCAATGTTTCCAAACTTCCCTGTCTCAACTTGAACCTAGTAAAGAAATCCATGTGGTTCTTAAATTATAGTTTGCTTCTCTCTTTTCTCTTCTTGAACGTTGAAGGCCCGCCAACACTGGTACCCCAGAACCAGGGAAGGAATAGTCCAAGTTTCACCTCTAAGATGGTGTCACTGAGATGATAGCAGATAGAAGAGTATAACTTGTCTGTAGTTGCACAGGATATTTGGAGGTGAAAGGGATGGTGGGAATGATGAGCTTCTGCTCTTACCCAGAGCCTAGATGGAAGATGTAGGCACATATGAGAAGAAAGCTGTAGGGACAGAAGAGTTGAAGATCCAGTCTTGAGAGCTGGTAGCCAAGGTGGAAACCTGCCTAATTTCCCTACTGAGGTCTATAGCACCAGCTTGGAGGCTGATAATATGAGGCCAAGTTAAGTAAGCAGGCTCAGCAAGAGTACCATTTCCTCCATGACAGCAGTTTCCCAAGCCAGGGGCTTCTCTGTCTGCCTCTGTGGCTCCCTAACATCTGGTCAGTTCTTATCCTCTTCTTACCTGTTAGTGTTTGACTATTTTGTCACCCACCCTGGCCAGCTAACTCCTTACAGGCAGTAACTAGGCTTTGCCTGTCTGTGCCTTCCACCCTACCTGACCCTTTGCTTTGCACATTCATATGTGGTAAATTGCAGTAGTGTCCTCTTTCTCCAAATCCAGTGGAGGTAGCTGGCTTTTTGGGTGATGATTCAGGGACCAAGAGTTTGGTGGAGGACTCAAAGTGGAACCCTGGAACCAGTTAATTAAATTTGAGGAATGGAGAGGAGGAAAAGCTGTTTTTGATTCTGGGTCCCTGCTTCTGTTGACCCTTGGCTGCAACTCAGTACAGACTCCACTTCCTTCAGGCATTAAAGTGTTTTTGAGTTTGTTGTGGGAAATCTGCTTTACAGGTTTTGTTAATCATCTTTGAAATGAGGCTTTCTCCAGACTCAACCACCAATCTTCCACCTCAGATATGGGACAAACACATCCAGTTTTTCACTTCTCCTCCACAACAGGAAAATGTGCTCCACCTGCACTGGGGGAAAGTGGGAGTTTGAGGGAGCTAAGGGTCTCAACCCTAGTGGTCACCTTCTCTAAGACAGCATCAGACTGTCTTATTCACAGAGGACCCCATGTCTCTGCCTTCCTTTGTACCCCCAGTCTTTGGAAACCACTTCTTTTCCTTCCTTTCATTGTGCACATTAAGTCCTGAGAACACCAAAATCCAGGACTCCCCAGACCTACTCAGAGGACTGTCTGCTTCAGATCCCTCCCTGTCACACTCACTCTGTAGCATTAAAATTCCAGACCTTTGCCCTGGGTTCCTCTAGTCTACAGTAGTCAAGGGCCACCTCCATTGGCCATTTTGGAACCACCTCACCTGGGGTGACAGGGGCCAGATCACAATATTCTGTTCCATGTCTTTCCTTTCTCTCGCTTTGGACTTGCCTTTTGATCCCACCTCCATGTGAATAACCTATGAAGTTATGGAATATTGATTTTCCATTTCTTCTCCTTTGTCTTCTTTTCATCCCCAGGACAGCTTCCCTGCCCTACTTGCTCATGTCTCAGTTGAGAGAGCTGCAGAAGTTATACAGGGAGGGGGTGAATTACCCTGGTTCCTACTGCTCTGAGCTTCTTTAGTCTACCTGCCCACCCCTCCGCCCCCCAACTCCAGTAATCCCTGACTCTCTCCTGAAAGGAAGTTGAAAGTGATTGAAAGAGAGCTCCAGGGAGTGACAACTGTCATGGCCTATTACAATCTGCGCTGTCTACTGTAAGCCACCGCCTCCTGGTTGGATTCAACTGTTTTCCTCATAGCCTGATTCTGAATGGAGGAAGAAGTATCAGGAATGAAACTAGTGTTAGAAAACATTGGGGTAGATAATAGTGTTCCTATCTGTGCTTGATTTTTAAAGAGAATCTTCACCTTTGTTGGAATTTTGAATGGAGACATCCTGTGTGGTTGGGATCTTGTTTTGGTCTTTGAAGTAAGATCTCTTCATGATATCCTCCTCAGTCCACTCCCTCGACCCCCTAGCAACCCATGGTAGTTAGGAAGAGCCGAGCACATGGGACTTATTTCTCTTCAGATTTCCTGTCTAAGAAGATGGACAAGTAAAATAAAATATGTGCCACTGCTAAGCAGTCAGAGTCATGTATTTTAAATTAAAAATAAAATTTGCATGGCGGGCCTAGTCCTACATATAAGGGTTAAGACAAAATGTTGCTGTGATGAGTCTAAAGCCAGTACTCAAAAAACCCAAAGGTAGGTTGTTATGCACAGAAAGCTCAACAACCACACTGGGAGAAAAGTGGCAGCAGAGTGGCAGGGTTGGGTCTGGTGTAGACACAGGACTGGTGTCCCATCAGACATTGGTCCAAAGAGGGTGGGCCTTGAAGAAGCATTTTTAGTATTTAAACAGCATCACTAGACAGTTCCTGGAATGGCTTGTTGTAAGTGGGAACTGACACCAGACCCAAGTATTGCCCTTGTTTGAATCCAGCCTTGAGGGGAAAATCAATAACACAGGCCACAAACTGGTACCACTCCCTTACGGCCTTTGCATAGGGCTGGACACATGCTGTTCCCTGCCAGTCCCTTCTGCCCAGAGATCCCAGTAGAACAAGACTGGAACTCTGTTCCAGCACTGCAGAGGGTCAGTGTCTGGACAATGGAATGACTGAGCTATACCAGCACAGATGGCTGGTTTTGGGTGTTTAGCAGCATCCCCTGACTGCTCCCCTCCCACCTGAAAAATCATAAGATGCAGAGAAAGTTTAAGATTGTGGATTTCTTTGTAAGAAATTAAAATCTGACAACAGAATCTTTCAGACCACACAGTTTTTGCACATGTAGGGATGTATGTGCCTTGGGTGTATCTGCCTGCCGAGGACTGTGCTGGCTGTGACAGGTACATGTGATGGTTCTGTGATTGTGCTCTTGTTATACCATGTGGGTGACTAGTGACTAGGAGCACAGGTTGAAGATGAAGAAGAGTGTTTAGCATAACAACATCTATATCACCAGGGAGAGTAATTTCAGACATGTTTGGGGGTCTGTTAATTTCCATGTTCCATCTTTATTTCATAAAGTAGTCTCAAGAAAGGAAAATAAGACAAACTCAAATGTTTACTCTGCCTCTCGAACTATTTGTTAATCCCTTAGAGACAACCCGGCTGTTCCCTGTCACCTACTGGTAGAGAGAGGCTACTTTAATCAAGGTCATTGAGAGACAGCAGAAAAATACGATATGACTCTGAACTCTGAGCTGAAAACAAAAATAACATGAGAAACAACCTTGTATGTAATGACTGCTTTTCTCACTTTATGAGGACTTGTACAGATAAGGGAGGCTTCAAAGAGAATTTCAGGGAAACTACTAACCCAAACCAATAAGTTTCTAGGGTGAAGAGTAGATACTGTCAGCAAATATTCACTTTGCAGATATCAGGATCCAACCTTCTCTGAATCCCTGTATACATTTATAGTAGCTTACGTTTCATTTTTATGCTCTTAGTGTTTATTGCAGAAATAAAGCCCTTCCTCCTGATCACTAATCACCCACATAGTATGACAGAAGCACTGTCATGGGGCTGATAGTGACACCTGTCAGAGCCAGCACAGTCCAGCACAAGCAGACACACCCTGTCACCCACATTCTCACAAGGGCAAGGACTGTGGTCTTGTGGTGAAATGCTTTGATTTGAACCAGTAAGAATTTCTTTACTAATAAAGTTATAAGCCAGTGACAGGAAATTCTGTGTAATTTAGAGACAGATGCATTCTTCCTAAGGCAACACGTAGCTAACTATTTCAATTCCAGGATGACATTATATATAAAAGGTGAATAATTTTATTTTTAAAGGAGTTTGTACAAATCTTTACATTCCACCAACCGAATAGGCTTCTTTATTGACATATTAGTTTAGAAAGTGCATTAAACCTTTACAGCTCCAAGGTCACATGGTAGTAGGTTCATTTCCTGATACCAAGCCTCAGTTTTGAGCCATAAGCCTTGGGGAACAGCTTACTCACATTGATGAGCCTTTTGAATTTAGACCAAAAAAAAGCCCATGGATCTGAACTTTTAACAGTGCATAACCAACTACCTCCAGCCCAGGCACAAGTTTCTGGAAGACCCATAGCTAATGAGGTTGTAACTTTTCTTCTCTCTTCCTCTTCACTCAAGGCATAATTCATTCCGGAGACAGCTCAACCTGTCAAACCCAGACTTCAATATCCAGCAGCTTCAAAAACAGGAACAGTTGACTGGAATTGGCCGAATTAAACCGGAGTTATATAAGCAAAGGTCACTGGATACTGATGATGGGACAAGGGGTAACAGCAAAGCCTGTGGGAAACTGAATTTCATTTTAAAATATGACTGTGACTTAGAGCAGCTCATAGTCAAGATTCATAAAGCTGTCAATTTGCCCGCCAAGGACTTCTCTGGGACTTCAGATCCTTACGTCAAGATCTATTTGCTTCCTGATCGGAAAACAAAACACCAGACTAAAGTTCACAGAAAGACCCTAAATCCTGTGTTCGATGAAGTGTTTTTGTTTCCGGTTCCCTACAATGACCTTGCAGCACGGAAGCTTCACTTCTCTGTGTATGACTTTGACAGGTTCTCTCGCCACGACTTGATCGGCCAAGTGGTGGTGGACCACTTCTTAGACTTGGCTGATTTCCCCAGGGAGTGCATCCTTTGGAAGGATATCGAGTATGTCACCAATGTAAGTCCAGCATTTCTTCATTTGGGGGAAGGCTTCTTGGTCTGCATGCATACAGATTACTTACACCTTATTTTATTTTGGGGGCAAAGTATAAAATTCTTGTCAGTGTCTGGAGAGCTTTGTTTCAGAGCTTTCCTGTACCTTCCCAGAAACAGATCTTTAACAGTATTCATTTTATAAGTTCCTGGAATTACTCATGAAAACAGTATTAAAGAGTAATGTTCTCTCTTTTCTACTTTCTAATTCTTAGCTATTCCCTAATTGGCGGTAGATATCATCTGCCCTCCTTACCACATTTTCTGTAGAGCTTTCTTAGGTTATTTGTGCTAAATGGATCCTGGCATCCTATTCGCTGTAATCTGCTGCTATGAGACATTGCCAGGCCGTCTGAGAGCATTATGTCCTTGCCCATGTGCCCAGGTCAGCTCAGTTGCATTTTCCATGATCAGATCTTTATCTTGAATCCCAGAAGTGAGAATGGTTGAAAAGAGTTGGTACCATAGTTTTAAATACAGAATCAAAGTGACAAGGAGTTCAATCTGAAAAGATGTGCAGATATTGGCAAAGCTAATCAATGGAAGGTCAGATCCAATTTAGAGCTCAGGAGAGAGGGCTGAAGGGCTATGTAGTGACACCACATACCCATGTTTACATTTTAAATGAGATTGCAGTGGTGATATGATTACTCTATTTACATCCTTATCACTCTCCTGCAGACATGTATTGACACTGCTGAAATAGAAGGAAAACTGGACTTTCTTAGGTAAGGCTGATATTTTAGAGCCACTAATTCCCTCAGGCAACTTTGCTCACACATCTTCTAGAATGCGAGCTCTTCTGAGGCCAGCATAGTTTTCTTTCTCTGCCTTGGCATCCAAAGAAATCAAGCTCCATAATCCTTCCTCAGCTCAGATGACAATCCAGTTTGAGTTTGGAGCCCAGTAAGTGAAGAGAACACACAAAATCTCTGCCTGGTGACCAGATACCCACGCTAGTTTTCTCACTCTTGTCTGCCTTTGTAAACTGGGGACTCACCCATACTTTGGCTGTGCCAAGAGACATCTTCTCATCACATGCCACAAGATACCACTGCCAGCTTTGTCCTGATACTCACATAAGCAAAGGAGTTTTGCTGGACCTTATCATAAGAATGAGGAAAGGAAAGAAATAGCTGGAGAAGGTGGAGCGAAGAGTCTGTTTCTAGAATCTTGTTTCTTTATTTTGTTCTTTTTTACTAAATCTACCTATAGCATAATTTGCAATTAGGATAAGGTTCTTATCAACGATAAGGTTTAATATCAGAAAGAACAATCATCCAGCTTGCTTTTTCTTCAATTCAGTACCTGGCTGGTACATAAATTTTAGAATCAAATTGTCAAATTAATAATTCTTCCTGATATTAGTTTGGACTTGTATGAAATCTGTAGATTAATTTAGGGAATTGTGTATCTTTGTGATATAAAGTCTTTCTCTTCATGACCATAGTGTATTTTGTTTCATTTATTTATTTCTCTAAAATTCTAGGGGCGCCTGGGTGCTCAGTCAGTTAAGCATCTGACTCTTGTTTTCGGCTCAGGTCATGATCTTAGGGTTCATGAGTTTGAGCCCCATTTCAGGCTCACAGCCTGTTTGGGATTCTTACTCTCTCCGTCTCTCTCTGCCCCTCCCCTGCTTCTGTGTGCTTTCTAAATAAATACATAACTAAATAAACTTGAAATTAATTAATTACATTCTTTCATTCAAAGCTTATGAGGATCTTGCATGTCTCTTGTTAGATTTATTGTTAGGTGCCATATTTTTCATTACAGTTGACCCTTGAACAACACAGGTTTGAACTTCTCAGGTTTACTTATACATGGATTTTTTTCAATAAGTACAGTAGAGAGCTATAAATGTATTTTCTTTCCTTATGATTTTCTTAATACATTTTCTTTTATCTGGCTTACTTTATTGTAAGAATACAATATATAATACATATAACACACAAAATATGTGTTAATTGACACATGTTGATAACATAAAATTTCCAGTTAACAGTTGTCTATTAATAGGTAAGTTTTGGGGGTCCAGCACCCCCTAACCTTCACGTTACTCATAGGTCAACTATAGGATTTTTTCTAAAATTGCATTTTCCAACTTTTGTTGTTACATAAATGCAGTTTAAATTTATCTTCAATTTGACAATCTTGTAAAATTCTTATTAATTCTTACAATTTGATTGTAGTATCTTCTGAATTTTCCTTGTAGATAATCAGACATGTGAATTATGAGAGTTTTGTGGTTTTTTTCCTACTCTGTATGCTTTTATTTATTTTTTAATTCAGTTTACAGACTAGGATTTCCAGTATAATGTCAAATAATAATTATGGTAGCGGGCATCCTTGACTTGTTCCTACTTTTAAGTGAAATGTCTCTAACATTTTCATGGAGTATGATTTTACGGTAGATATTTTGTGGATGTCTTTATCATATTAGAAATGTATCCCTCGGGGTGCTTGGGTGGCTCAGTTGGTTAAGCATCCACTTTGGCTCAGGTCATGATCTTGAAGTTCATGGGTTTGAGCCCCACATCAGGCTCTGTGCTGACAGCTCAGAGCCTGGAGCCTGCTTCAGATTCTGTTTCCCTCTCCCTCTACTCCTCCCCCATTTGTACTCTGTCTCTCTCTGTGTCTCTCTCTCTCAAAAATAAACATTAAAAAAAATTAAAAAGGGTCACTTGGGTGGCTCAGTCGGTTAAGCATCCGACTTCAGCTCAGGTCATGATCTCCTGTTTTGTGGGTTTGAGCCCCGTGTCAGGCTCTGTGCTGACAGCTCAGAGCCTGGAGCCTGCTTTGGACTCTGTCTCCCTCTGTCTCTTCCTATTACCTCTGGTGCTATTTCTCTCTCTCAAAAATAAATAAACATTAAAATATTTTAAAAAGAATGTATTCCTCAAAAAATGTATTTCTATTTGACTAATAAGGCTTTTTATTATAAACATTTGTTTTGTCAAATGCTGTGATCTTGTGAGGTTTTTCTCTGCTTTAATTTGCTAGTTTATTCAATTATGTTGATCAGTTTTTAAATTTTGAACCTATCATATATTCCTAGTATGATCAAAAGTGGCTTTGATATATTACCTATTTTACATATTGTTAAATTCACTTTGCTAATATTTTGTTTAGCATTTTTTAAATCTGTGCTGATTAGTAATTCATGTAATTTACTTTCTCATATGGCCCTCATATGGTCCGGGTTGGAACCAAGGTAATTCTTATTTTATAAAATTAGTTGGGGGATTATTCTGGTTACTTTCCATTTGTTTTTCCTTGGTGCTTCTGGAGGCTTCTGGGGGGGGGGGGCGTGTTGTTCATTTTTCTTTGAACTGAAAAGAACTCTTTTAGTCTCTGGCTTCTGTTTAGGTTTAGGTAGTAAGGAAGAGAAGGTTGGCATATTTATTCCCCTACCTACCCTCCTTAGGGTATCTATAGGCTAGCAATAATCTACAACTGAAAGCCACAGTTTCTGAATATGTGTTTATTTTGCTATTGTTTTTAGAATGTTTTTCTGCGTCTAAAAATGAAGGGGGCATAAAACTCTCAGGTACTTTGATTTTGGCATTACAAAGCTGTCATTCCATAGTCTTCCGGCCTCCAATTGCTTTTGAGAAGTTGACATTTAATGTAATGTTTATTCCTTTGTATGCAATTTTCTTTTCTTTGTTATTGTTTTCAATATCTTGCTTTCCTCTTTAGTGTTCCATAGTTTAACTGTTAATATTGCTAAGTGGCTATTTTTATTTATTCTGACTGATTTATGGGATTCCTGAATATGAGATTATTTCCTTTTATCAGTTCTGGAAAATTCTCACCCATTTACCACTTTTCATTTGTAGAAGTATCATTTGGGCTGCTTTCACACTTGCCTAATATCTTTAATAGTCTCTTTTTATGTTTCTTTTTTTTTTTTTAAAGTAGTTTATTGTCAAGTTGGTTTCCATATAACACCCAGTGCTCATCCCCACAAGTGCCCTCCTCCATGCCCATCTCCTCCCTCCCCCCCACATCCATCAGTCCTCAGTTCTCAGCATTCAAGAGTCTCTCATGTTTTGCCTCTCTCCCTCTCCCCCACTATTTCCCCCCTTCTTCTTCCCCTTGGTCTTCTGTTAAGTTCCTCCTAATCCTCCTATACGTGCAAACATATGATATTTGTCCTTCTCTGCCTGACTTATTTCACTCAGCATAACATCCTTAAGGTCCATCCATGTTGCTACACATGGCCAGATTTCATTCTTTCTCTTCGCCATGTAGTATTCCATCGTATAGATAAACCACATCTTCTTGATCCATTCGTCCGTTGATGGACACTTAGGCTCTTTCCATGTTTTGGCTATTGTTGAGAGTGCTGCTATGAACATTGGGGTACATGTGCTCCTATGCATCAGCTTTCCTATATCCCTTGGATAAATTCCTAGCTGTGCTATTGCTGGGTCATAGGGAAGTTCTATGGTTAATTTTTTGAGGAACCTCCACACTGTTTTCCAGAGGGGCTGCACAGGTTTACATTCCCACCAACAGTGCAGAAGGGTGCCCATTTCTCCACATCCTCGCCTGTATCTAGAGTTCTCTGATTTGTTCATTTTAGCCACTCTGTCTTGTTTGAGGTGGTATCTCAGTGTGGTTTTGATTTGTATTTCCTTGATGAGGAGGGATGCTGAGCATCGTTTCATGTGTCTGTTGGCCATCTGGATGTCCTCTTTGGAGAAGTGTCTGTTCATATCTTCTGCCGACAGACTCCACCAGAAGCCTACTAGAACTGACCCAAGAATTCAGCAAAGTTGCAGGGTACAAAATCAACGTACAGAAATCGGTTGCATTCTTTTTTTGTTTCAACGTACTTTCAGTTCCCTTTTTTATTTCTTTTACCATTTATAAGTTATTTTTATATTCTGTTGTTCCTAACTCCAACAGCTATAATCTTTGTAGCTCTGATTTTTTTGTTTGGTATTTCCATTGACTAAC